AAATGGATAAACACCAAAACTCGTAGAATTCATTAGTTATAAATCCTATTACTAAGTTTGGTGTTCATTTGAGTGGATTTATGTGAATGTTGGCGATTGGAATTAGGAGTGAAGAACCACCAACAGGCGGCGAGATGCCACAGCGGCGGGGAAGAGCCGAGGAGAGGCGCGCTGGGTGTGAGAGGTTGGGGGTTCGGTGGGGGACGCGGCGATGTCCTGGCACTCATGTAGGAGGCCGTGGTGGCAGCAACGCCATGGCCTTGGTGTCGCAGCGGAGCAGCGAGCCAGCGACAGGGCGCACCGCTTGCATGAGTGCCTGCCGGAAGTGGTGGTGGCACTCGTTCAGCTTGGTGGTGTCCTGTGAGCACTGAGCAGCCATGGCAATGGCCATGGTGAGCCTTGTCAAGGTTCAGTGAGGCGACGACCACCGTAGTCTGCTCAGGCGCCACTACCGCATCTTGCTTGAGCGCCGCCGCCGCAGCCTGCTCGCGCCGCTGCCCTGCTCGTGCGCCGCCACAGGATCCAACTCGCCGCTATTGCCTCCTTCACGCGCACAGGAAAGGGAGGAAAGACAAGGGCCAGTGTGGCATGGTCAATGCCAGCGTGGTGTGGTCAAACCCGCTCTACTTTAGATAAAACAGCCCCACCCGTGTCCAGGTGCTAAAAATAAACGATTTTGACAGTTGGGGCACCGACATTAGACGGTTTTATAGTTAATGGTCAAAATTAGACGAAACCAATAGTTTAGGGGCCAAAAGTGGACTTAATCCCCAAATATTTGGATATGTAAACCATCTTAAATTAAAAAGTTGTCAACTATAAAATTTTAGATCTCTTTGAAATTATAAAATTTTGGTATGAAGTTTATGTTGATCCGACCTCAGATGAAAACGTTATGATTTTTTTTTTTGCGAAAATGCCTACCGGTAGAAGCCACAAACCAGCAGTGATAGTCCATCTATCATTGTTGACTATAATATTATTACCGGTTGAAGCCTTTATAGAACTGTACATGTCCATCTCTAGAAATCAATAGAAACACGCGCCACCTTTACAAGTTGATTTCTAGGGTGCCTCAAAATCCAACTGCCCCTAGAAATTGTTTTTCCAGAAATCACAAATTGCACGTCCAAATTTTTTATCCGAGAAAGCCCCACACCAGGGTGCCACACAAGTTGCACGTCCAAATTGCAAAGTCACATGATTTTTCGCGGCCACAAGCGTTGCCCGTACCTCTACCAACCACTCCACTACAAAGTCAATTGTGGTTATGAGGTAGATATGTTGTATTCATTTTACTAGATTTGAAATAAATATTTGAGTCCCTAAACAAATTCAAATAAAAAAGGTTTCAATTGGAAAGTTGTAGATGTCATCGAGTCCTACAACTTTGGTTTTGTTCAATTCTCCATCCAAGGTTGTTTGAAAATTTTGAATTTCAAACGTGTGGGATTCAAATAGAATCTTCCTTGGCAATGATGTCAAATGAAAAAAAATTATCAACTACAAAGTTGTATAGCTTTTTGAGATCTATAACTTTGGTTTCTATTATTTCTTCATCGGAGGTCCTTTAAAAAATTTGAATTTCAAAATGTGAGGTTCAGGCTGAATTTTGGGACCATAGTGTATTTCAAATGAAAACGTTATCTAATGCAATGTTTTATATCTGTTTGAGATCTATAACTTCAGTTTGGTCATTTCTACATCTGCGGTTGTTTGAACAATTCAAAGATTTTGAATTTTAAAATGTGAGAACTTCAAACATAATTTGCGAAATCTAGGTGATTTCAAATGAAAGAGTCAACTACAGAGTTGTAGATCTCTTCGAGATATACAACTTCAATATAAAGTTTGTCTTCATCGGACTTTGTTTGAAAAAATTATGAATTTTACTATGACACACCGATTTTTATATGTCTCTAGATTCAGCCGCCTCTATAGATCGATTTCTAAGAGTGGCTCTAGATCTAACCGCCTCTAAAGACTAGGGCATTTCTAGAGGCTAAATATGGATTTCGAGAGATGGGTCGTTTCGAAAACCATTCCTAGAGGCGGTTTTAGATAGAGCCAGTCTTACTGAAAATAGAAGTGTTGCTAAAAATCTATTGTGTAGTGGTGATATGAACATGAGAATTGGATGTTCACATATTTATTCTAGTCTAGTAGTATATGGAATTAAAGTATTCAGATATCAAACCATTTTTTACTGGAGAGAAAATATAATAATAAGTTAGATGGTGGAAATTCATTGTATTTATTACTTCAATAAATTAGCACTAGTATTGAACATCACTTGGACAATTGATGAGTCTGAGAAGAGATTCACATATTTATACTTCTCTATCAAGATATGGAACCGACAAGTCTTGAGATGACGAAGGATCTTTTCTTGAGGGATGCAAAATTAATGAGTTATCAAATGGTTGAAGATATCATAGTACTTATTACATCAATAAATAAGTACAAGCAAAAAAATATAATAGCACTTGGAGAGAGAAAATGAAGCCTGGCCAATGGATAGCACAGATGATTATATGAATGGGATATACATATATTTATCCCAGCCTAAGATGGTACTATATGGCATACGTGTCTTGATGAGCGACATGAAAGCATTAGTGCAGAATATCTTAGATTCATAGAGGACAACTAAACTACTAAAATTGTTCATATCCGATGTCATTTAAAAAATTTGAATTTCAAAATGTGAGGTTCACACTGAATTTTGGGACGATAGCAGTTTATTTCAAATGAAAACCTTATCTACTGTAATACTTTATACCTTTTTGAGATCTATAACTTTAGTTTTGGTTATTTCGACATCTGAGGTCATTTGAACAATTCAAAAATTTTGAATTTTGAAATGTGAGAACTTCAAATAGAAGTTGTGGGATCTAGATGATTTTAAATGAAAAAGTCAACTAATATAATGTTTATCTTTATTCTACTTCGTTTGAGAAAATTATTAATTTTACCGGGGCACACCTATTTTTATATGGCTCTAGAACCAATCGCCTCTACAAATCGATTTCTAGGGTCGGTATTGGATCCAACTGTCTATAAAGATGGAGGCATTTTTAGAGACTAAAAATGGTTTTCTACAGGCCGGTCTCATTCTGGAAACTATTCCTAGAGGCAGTTTTAGATAGAGCGGGCCCAACTAAAGATAGATGCCTTGCTAAGAATCAATTGTTGAGGAGTGATATGAACATTAGAATTAGATGTTCACATATTTATGCTAGTCTAGTACTATATGGAATCCAAGTATTCAGTTATCAAACCATTCAAATAAAAAAGGTCTCAACTGGAAAGTTGTAGATATTGTTGAGTCCTGTAACTTTGGTTTTGGTCGATTCTGCATCCGAGGTTATTTGAAAAAAATGAATTTCAAGAAGTGAGGAATTCAAATAGAATCTTCCTTGGACAAATGATTTCAGATGAAAAGTTAACAACTTCAGTTTTTGTTGTTTATCCATCCGGGGTCGTTTAAAAAATTGAATTTTACAAGGTGAGGATTCACACTAAGTTTAGGACCATAGATTATTTCAAATGAAATGTTATTTGCTGCAATCTTTTATATCTTTTTGAGATCTATAACTTTGGTTTTGGTCATTTCTACATCTGAGGTCGTTCGAAAATTCAAAGATTTGAATTTCAAAATGTAGAAACTTCCAGAACTTGTAAGACTTAGATAATTTCAAATGAAAAAGTTACCTATAAAGTTGTACATCTCTTCGATATAAAGTTTGTGTCCATCTGATCGACTTGGTTTGAAAAAATTATCAATGTTACTTTGACACACCTATTTTTAGAGATGACTCTAAATCCAGTCACCTGTACAAATCAATTTCTAATGGTGGTTCTAGATCCAGCCGCCTAAAGATAGAGATATTTCTAAAGGCTTGAAATGGATTTCGAGAGGCAGGTCTGTTCAAAAACCATTCTTAGATACGCCGCTTCTAATAAAAGTAGATGCATTGCTATAAATCAATTCTGTAGCAGTGATATGAACATGAGAATTGGATGTTGACATATTTATTCTAGTCTAGTAGTATAGTAGTATATGGAATCCAAGTATTCAGATATGAAACCATTGTTTATTGGAGTAAGTTAGATGGTGGAGATTTATTGTATTTATTATTTTGAATTCACGAGTTTGAGAAGATTTGTACCTTTCTATCAAGATATGGAGCTGACAAGCCTCGAGATATCGAAGTATCTTTTTCTTGAGGATGCAAAACTAACGACCTATTAAATTGTTGAATGAAGATATCACAGTATTTATTACTTCAATAAATAATTAAGTACATGAAAGCATTAGTGCAGAATTGGATGTTCACTATTTATTCTAGTCTAGTTGTATATGGAATCCCAGTAGTCAGATATCAAACCATTTTTTATTGGGGAGAGAAAATATAATAATAAGCTAGATGGTGGAAATTCATTGTATTAATTACTTCAATAAACTAGCACTTGTATTGAACATCACTTGGACAAAATAAAATGGATCAAATTGATGAGTCTGAGATGATATATTCACATACTTATACCTTTCTATCAAGATATGGAGCCCACAAGCCTTGAGATATCGAAAGATCTTTTCTTGAGGGATGCAAAAGTAATGAGTTATTAAATGGTCGAAGATATCATAGTATTTATTACTTCAATAAATAAGTACAATTAATTAAAAAATATAATAGAACTTGGAGAGAGAAAATAAAGCCTGGCCAATGGATTACACAGATGAATACATGAATTGGATATTCATACATTTATTCATTCCAGCCTACGATGGTATATGGCATATGTGCCTTGATGAGAGACATGAAAGCATTAGTGCAGAATATCTTAGTAGATTCATAAGACAACAAAACTACTAAAAATCGTTGGTATCTACAGGGTCTTCTGTATAGTATATAAACACCTGCGCACATGTACTGAAATAGAGAAGAAATACAGATTACCCTCCTCTCAGGAAGCAAGTTTCACAGCTTTTCCCCATGGCACTCATCATCAAGACCACAATCATCGCTGTTTTCTTGGTTCTTGGAGTCATATCTTCCACATCCATAGGTTACGTTGGTGCAATCGGTAGGCACAAACCCTTGTTTTACTTTACTTTGCATCATCATTAAGACATGATTTTGCTTAATACTTCTTGTGTTGGTCGCATGCATGTGTGTAGGCACGGAGGACACCCCTGCTCCCAAGCCAAAACCAGGGATGCCGTGCTTCCACGCCGGAGGCTCACAGTACCCGTGTAATGCGGATGGGTGCTGCAGGTTATGCGAGCACGAACACCACAGGAGCGATAAGGCCTACTGTAAAAGTGTTGGGCCTCCAGGGGAGTGCTGCTGCCCAAATGAATAGATAGCTACTAGTTTAATGAATAATCCGTGCGTGTGTTTGTTGACAATGCAATAAAATATGTTTGCTTGCTTTGGTATTACTCTCGTCATTTCAAGTTTTTTTGTCTGTAATAATTGTATATAATATTGGAGAAAAATCTCCAAGAAATTGTACACAATATCAGAGAAATTATGTGCTCATAAATATAATATATCTGAGAAAAATCTCCAAGAAAAACAATGTAAACATAATTTCAGTAATAAATATAATTTGCATGTTTAAATTAAATAAATTTCTAAGCATATGTCATCCAAAAAGTGAGGAATCATGTTCAACATATAAGTGTCACGGAAATGCGTATGTTGCGTTAGATTTGCGGTCATACAAGAAGGGATCGAGTTTGGAACGATGATATACGTGATAGATTAGGGGTAGCACCAATTGAAGAAAAGCTTGTCCAACACTGGTTGAGATGGTTTGGGCATGTCCAACGAAGACCTCCAGAGGCACCGGTGCATAGTGGAATCCTAAGCCATGATAGTAACGTGAAGAGAGACAGAGAAAGACCAAAGTTGACTTGGGTAGAGGCAATAAAAGGAGACTTGAAAGGATGGAATATACCTAAAGACATAGCCTTAGATAGGAGTGCTTGAAAAATAGTTATTCACGTGCCTGAACCTTGATTGTTTCTGCTAGGTTTCAACTCTAGCCTACACCAACTTGTTTGGGAATTAAAGGCTTTGTTGTTGTTGTTGTACTAAACTATGGATCAATATTTTGGGCTTGTTTGGATTGTGACGCAAGCTGGCCAAACCAAAATTTCGCCATAGCCAAATCAGGGCATCTGGTGGTTAAGCAAAAATTCTAAACAAGTCAAATTTTGGTCATATAAACCATGAAAGATGCCTTCTATTTCCTGTACAACATATGAGACATGAATGCACCATTGCAAGAACAACCTCTAAAAATGCACTACTACAGAAATCTTATTGGAGGCAGACATAATGGGTTAATGGAGGTGGGCATTGCAACCACCTCCAATCAATAGTGACGGTTAATCGTAACATAACGGAGGTGGGTGCCCTGTCCGCCTCCGTTAATGTTCATTAATGGAGGCGGTTGCCCTTAAATGCCCACCTCCGTTATTGTTTTAACCGAGGTGGACTCTATAATGCGACCGCCACAGATACAAGTTTTATGGTGGCGGGCTATTCTTACATGCCCGCCTCCGTTAATATTTTCCCATTTAAAAAATAGCCTCGGCAGTTTGATTTGAATTTGAATTTGAATTATATTTTCACAAATCAAACACATATAAAAGCAGAATCAAGACATATATAAACACATATTATGCATATCGAGCACAAACATATAACATATTCATTGGTGTCCTCCATGGTCAACCAACATCATTCAAAGTTATTACACACATGCATGATGTCAAATGTTTACACATGTGAAACTAAGACTACCCCGCCATCAACTTTTCCTGGAAAAGAGGTACGGCAAGATGTAATCCTTGATTTGTAACCTGGTGCTCTAGTTTCTGATCCTCTCGAACTTTGGATCAAGCGCACTCTGTGACAAACTTACATATGTCTTCTACTGTTTGTCTAAAGTTTTTGTCGACCTTCTCCCTTCGCCACCATCCTTGTGCTTTCTTGAGCTGCCACCAGCTGTTGCTGAATCTAGTGCACGTCCTCGCGTACTCGCAAACGTAGAATTCACATAGAACTGAGCCATAGGGTTGTTTGGTGCACTGCATGGTATATAATACACAATCAATAGAGCATATATAAAGAGCAGTAGTAGGAGGACAGTATAGTATAGGAGTAGTAGTAGGAGTTGTAGTAGGTATAGGAGTAGTAGAGTAGAGTAATAGTAGTAGTATTGGTATAGGAGTAGAGTAGAGTAGTAGGAGTAGTAGTAGTAGTAGTGGTAGGTATAGGAGTATAGTATAGTATAGTATAGTATAGTATAGTAGAGTAGTGTAGTAGTAGTAGTAGTAGTTAGGAGTAGTAGTACTATTGGTATAAGAGTAGAGTAGTAGGAGCAGTAGTAGTAGGAGTATTCGTACAGGAGTAGAGTAGAGTAGAGTAGAGTAGTAGGAGTAGTAGGAGTAGTAGCAAAGAGCTAACAAGGAGTAGTAGTAGTAGTAGTAGTAGTAGTAGTAGTAGAGAGCATGCTCGATATAATAGCATAAACGACTTTTGATGTACTTACCGCGGGAATTCGTGACTGAGTTTCGGTTTCGTGCCATTCTTGATCTTCTTCTTCTCAGATCTCCGATCATAGTAGTCGGGATCTTTCACGTACTTCTTATAAGCGCTGTATGAAAAAACACTAGTGTCAATGACAATTTGAACACGTATGTTAACTGTTAATGAATAAGTTATGTCACTTACTATCTCAATACACTTTCAAAGTGTTTGTACCCTGCTTTGTTTGTATCGTGCAAAGAGTCAAATATATAGGCCATTCCATCCTGAGGATAGATTATAAACGCAATCTAGTGGCCCATGATGCCCTTGCTGCACCATTCACACAATACATATTTGAAATGTTCAAATATGAGGAGTCATGATCCAAGTAGCTATATATATGTTCCAAGTATCTTTTGGACTTACCCAAACTGGTGGGCGTCCATGACACACCCATTTCCCCGGACCTTCTTCATAGCTCCATAGATGTACATTCCGGCCCGATACTTATATTTGATTTCTAGATCTTCCTGAAATTTCTTTCTCTCCTCCTGGTTCAAGTTCACCAGGTCTTCATGAGTGTCTGGTATATCGTAACCCACGATGGTTCTCTCTGTAATAAGCATCGAAGAGAGATAGACAATACCCTTGCCCAATTCCTTGCTTACATAGGCCTGCATCCTGCAAGGAAAAGTCATCATGGCATTATTAGTTTGCTCCTAAAGTATTTACAGCAATGTAGTGGTGTCAAATTTGTAGTTAACTTACATAGCAAATAAGGTGACTTGGGCGACGTCGAGGTCCTTTCGCCGCAGTAGTCTATACATGTCGTGGAAACAAACGAGGATTTCACCATCCGTGGGCGTGTGGAAGTACTATGCCGGAATCTTGATGACGAATGTGTGGAGGCCTGCTTTCGCCGCTTCAATGTACCATAGATGGAACCTCCTTACCTCACACTTCTCTTCAAGGAGGTCGCCCAAGGTCATTATGAACTTCCCATGCTCGTAGTTTTCAGGGCAATTATCCGACAGGCCCTAAATTGACGGCTGTGTTTTCGGCCTATGTTAGGAGTAGGGACGGCTGTGCCTATTCCCCCTCCATGTAAAAAGGCCGAGCACCTAATTAGTCCAAGGACTTGTATGTAAATTTGAGAATCAAAAGGGGTCAGAAGGAAGATTGCCTCCTTCCACCTGCTTTATAAATAGAACCAAGGGGCAAGGGAAGAAGCCTCCTGACTTCTCCCAAATCCTAATGTTGGGGCACCTACTCTCTTTCCTATTCAGGACAAGCTCCTGAGCTTCCCCCTCGCCCCGGACTAAGGAACCTGTCCTGGTTGGTGAGGGTAGGAGCGAAGGGCTATAACCCAACAGTGGTGCCGTCCATGCGGACACCATTGCACCAAATACCAAAAAAGACACGACAAAAGGCTACCCTCGTTGCGCTACTGCGGCCAGACTGAGCAACCCTCGTCATGTCCAGGCAGAGCAACCCTTACCGTTGCCAGACTGAGCAACCGTCGTCGTGGCTAGACTGAGCAACCCTCGTCATGGCCAGGCAGAGCAACCCTTTGACGTTGCTAGACTAAGCAACCCTCGTCGTGGCCAGACAGAGCAACCCTCGTCGTGGCCAGGCTAAGCAACCCTTGTCTCGACCCTCGTCACAGTCCGAGAAAGCCACCCTCGTCGCGACCCTCATCGTGGCCGGACAGAGCTACCCTCGTCTCGGCCAGACAGAGCTACCTCGTCGCGGCCGGACAGAGCCGCTCTCATCTCAACCCTCGTCGGCCAGACAGAGCAACCCTCGTCATGGCCGGACTGAGCAACCCTCGTCGCGGCCCATGTTACAGCCGAACAGAGCAAGTGTTATGGTGGCTAGACGGAGCTACCCTCGTCAACCTCCAGACCGGAGCAACCTGGTGCCAAGGCCGCGTCCAAGCTACCCTAGCCATCCTCCAGCCCAGATTAACCTCCGGCCCAAGCATCACCTTCGTCTGGCACGATCGAGCGAACTCCGGTCGTCCCGCGTCCGCTACACACTCGGCCAGCGCGCCTCGTGCCTCTGATCCAGCGGCTGGGAGACCCATGGGCCTCCCAGGCCCCTGCGGCAGCAAAGCTAAGAACCATCCGCCCATCTTAAATTCTGCAAGAATTTTCGCAATCGTGGGGCTTCAAACCTACGTTGTAACGCTTCGTCACTTGTCCTAAATACCAATGCAAAGATCCGTAGTTTACTCGTACAGGTTCTTCACGCTCCTGCAGCAGTGACGGTTTCTTGTCGATCTTGCGGCCACCCGCAGACCAGTTCGCTTCGCCAAGAAGCCGTAAGTACAACATCCTGCTCGTCGGTTCGCCAAGCCAATCTGGGTCACCCTCGACCGCCCTCGGCCCGCGGATACCTTCGACACTAGCTAAGTACTCCAAACACCTATATTTGTTTATACAGACCGTTTTCTATGTCTCGTGCTCGTAATCATTTCTAGCGAAGGTCTGCCAGACGCCAGGCACGAACGTCCATCTGTTACCCGAGCCTGCTCACAAAGGTGCTGAGATCCGTGCGAAGCTGGCTCCTGAGGATCGCCCGCCTGCGGAGACGCACGTGCCTCAACTTTTCTGCCCAGATAAGAAACCTGGCTACTCCTTCAAACTTGTGCAGAAAATAAATAAACAAATAAATAAAATATACATGTATATCACACCATTTTCACTTACAGCCTATACTCATGATTCGCGAGTGACCAAGGTATTTTTGTAATAAACTGAATTTATTAAGAGCTATTACTAATGGCTGCACGAGCCCCGCTACTCAGCTCGCACAAAT